ATCTAAAGAAGGGCCACATTAAACCCATTTTTTTTAGGCCAATTCATCGCCTTAGGCAAGGTACAATACAACATACAGGTTACAAGAGTGAAAGTGGTTAAATACGGAATACAAAAAAACCAGCTTAGTCTTGACTAACCTTAAAACTATCACTATTTCCAACTCTTGCCATCACCATCATATTTTTACTTCAATAACATTTTATACTCTTTGTTGACTGAAGTCTCCTGGTGGGACTGATTCACATCTCTATTGCTGTAATAAAGCTCTAAGAAAAGATTTGAAAAACACTCAGTTATGAGCATTGCTTCTGAAGAGCAACTCTGAGGAAGCAAAAGTCACTGAAAACACAGCACCAACAAAATCATAGTAAAAGCTTTCTCTCTTTCTTAGATACCTCCACATGCATGTTACTTGTGAAGTCATCTGACTCAATCCTATGAACTTTGCAGAAGTATAATTGATTAGAAAGTTACATGAGGAGTTTCAAGCTTAGAGAAGAGGCCAGAAGGGAGAAGAATAGGACTATATGGAATAAGACTGAAAAGCATTTTATAATGCTAAACGAGATTTCTTCACATACATTGTAACTATGACCATCTTTCATCCAAAATTTCTGTGCCCTGACTTCCTCTACACAAGTATGCTTTACACAACTTCCACCACTTGCAAGAAACAAAACAGAGGTCAGAATTAGCTTTTCCTAATACATACTGCCCAGTTTACACTGTCTTTTAGTGCTTTCTACATTAACAATGAATCTTGCTGAATATATAAAAACAAGCTCTATCTTCACAAATTAACCCTAACACAGCTTTTCAAGCTTAAAGTACAAGAAACATCCACTTTCTTCTGTGGAGATCTTGTTGTTGATCACTGTTAGTCACTCTTTGTACCTTGCCCTTCCTTAGCCAACCATCAATTCTTCTTTGGATTTTTGACCCTTCTTTTGATAATAAGTGTTACAGGAAGATAATATAGTCCTACAGTAGTAGGAAAAAAACATTCAAAGAGGTACAAGCACCAAACAACTCATTAAAGAAACGATCCTTTAGATGTCTGTTCACTACTATAACTCAGCTTTCATCAATGAAATTAGAACCTGGAGTGAATGTCACAGCATATTAAGAAGCAATTACATATTCTTTATATCAATGTCCACTTTACAGTTTGTCTATAGCAATAAAGAATCCTGAGTGGTATAGCCTCAAGCAGAAAGGGGTAGTTTCAGAAGCAAGAACCTGTTCCACAGAAAAATGGATAGAAATACTTATGCTTCCACAGACAGTGTGCATATGTGACTGAAAGTAAGTCTCCTCTAAAGAGGAAGGCTCTGAAGTTTTAGGTTACATACATTTCTATCCACTCCATAACTGGAACACCTACTCTACTAGAAGTTTGGTGGAAAGAAAAAAAAGTTAAAGCCAAAGCTCCCTAAACTTACTCAGGACAACTTCATATTAATAAACAGTAAAGACTTTAGTACAAAATCAGTAGTCACCTCCCATTCTAGTGGTGTGGTTTTACAATGCTTGTAAACAACAACAACAACAAAAATAACTGCCTGTTACGTCTCAGATGGTGATTTCTGTCCAACATCCCCCCCAACACTTGGTAAAATTGACTACAGAAACCTGTAACAGAAAAGATTGGAAAATATTTTTATGGAATTATCACATTAATGGCTACAAATCAGCTGAGCACTAAACTGAAAAAAATCTGTGTATTTACATGATAGTAAAATATTAACTCTTGTGGACAACTTCTGACATAGGTGTAAGCAATTCACCTATGTTTCATCAACCACTTCCATCAGCCAGTAAGGTTAAACAGAATTTCAACTACAGCCGAGTTTGGATGGTTTTGCAAAGTCTCTCTGACAAAGATCTCAGAGCTAAGACATCACACACGCACACTGCAAAAAATACTCAAGAACATTCCGAATCTAAAAAAAAGGAAACTAACCTTCACTGTACTCCATAAAAAGCATTGCCCTGAAAGAATGAAAGCGAACTCCAACAACAGAAAACAGACACCTTTAAAGCAGCATCCACATGGAAAGCAAGAGTGCCATATTGCATAACCACCTTTCCGAGACTACACTTGTGTTCGGATCATGCCATCTCCTTTCCTTTCCTCCTTCTTTAGACCACCGCTAAGTTTCACAACCAAATCGAACCAATCTCAGCCGCCGGGTCTCCGCACGGGACGATCATGCTTTACCAAGCTCGAATGAATGAAGACTGAACAGCACAGCGCAAGCACTAGGGGAAGGCTCCGTGGATTACAGGAGATTAGGAAGGCTGCAGAGGGGTATCTGCCCCCGGCGCACCGGGGCCGAAAAGCAGCGCTCTGTTCTCCGGGTGGGAGCGCCGGCCCGGCTCGCAGCGCGGGGAGCCGCCGCACCACACCGGGACGCCGAGGGCCCCTCGGGGCAGCCCGGGCACCAGGAGCGCAGGCCCCGCCGAGAACCGCCCGGCCCCGCAGGCCGCCGGCCCCCGCCGGGCCGCGGGCGATGCGGACGCTCCCGCCCGACGCGTTCCCGGGAGTCCCGGGGCTCTGCGGAGCCGCCCCTGGCGCGGGGCACGGCGGGCCCAACGAGACACTCCACCGGGGCCGCCGGGCCTCGGCGGGGGAGGAAGCGGCGGCGCCGCAGGTCCGGGCCGCGGCTGGGCCGCCGGGCTCGGTGCCGCCCGCCTGCCCGCCTGCCCGCCCGCCCGCCCGCAGCGGGCACCGCACGGCCGCGCCGGCAGCCCCGGCCCCCCAGAGCCGCTCGGGCCTCACTCACCGCCGCTGCCGCCGCCGCTGCCGGGCCCGCTTCCGGCTCCCGCCCCGCCGCTCCCCGCCCGCCGCTGCCACGTCCGCGCTCCGCCCGCCGGGGCCCGGATGCGGCGCAGGCGCCGGGAGGCCGCGGCCGGTGACGTCCCGGTGGGGCGGGAGGAGCCGCGGAGCTCGTCCCGCACAGGCCGGGCCGGCACTGCCCGCACGGGCCGCCGAACTGCGGGAAGGGCGCGGCCGAGACCGTGGAGCTTTTGGCCGCGTGTCCCACGAGCGGCCTGTGAAGGACCGCGACATGGGAGCAACCAGGGCCAGTTGTGCGCCAAGATGCAAAGGTTGTTCACTACCGAGTAACAGCGGGATTAGGGAAGTGATCATCGCGCTGTACTCGGCACTGGGAAGGCCACACCTCGAGTGCTGCGTTCAGTTCTGGGCCCTCACTTTGAAAAGGAAATTGAGCTCTTGGAGCGTATCCAGCAAAGGGCAATAAGGCTCGTGAAAGGATTAGAAAACATATCTTGTGATGAACAGCTGGAGGAGCTGAGTTTGTTTATTCAGGGGGGACCTCATCGCTTTCTACAACTACCTGAAAGGAGGTTGTAGTGAGATGGGTACTGGTCTTTTCTACCATGCCTGCAGTGAAAGGATTAGAGGAAATGGCCTAAAGCTGAGACAGGGGAAATTCAGATTAAATATTAGAATTTTTTTTTTCACTGTCAGGGTGCTCAGGCATTGGAATAGATTGCCCAGGGAGGTGGTGGAGTCATCATCCCTGGAGGTGCTTAAAAGGCATCTGGATCTGGCACTGGGTGATAGGATTTAGTGGTTTAGAGTTTACAGTGGAAGTGTTGGGTTCATGATTGGACTTGATGATGTTAAAGGTCTCTTAAAGGGGGAACATGGATTTTAATTCTTCTATAACTCCCTGGCTTGGGATAGCCAGGAGGTCTTGTCTGTCATGATCCAAAAGAAAAATCACTGAAGGACTCTTCTCAACTCTAATAAAACCCCACTTGGAGTCTTGAGTCCAGCTCTGGGGTTCTCAGCACAGAAAACACATAAACCCATTGGAGCAGGTCCAGAGGAAGGCCATGAAATGATCAGAGGGGTGAAGGCCTCTCCTGTTAAGAAAGGCTGAGGGAACTGGGCTTGTTCAGCCTGAAGAAAGCTCTGAGGAGACCTTATTGTGGCCTTTCAATACTTTAAGCAGGCTCCTAAAAAAGATGGAGACAGACTTCTTTTCAGTAGGGCTTGTAGTGATAGGAAAAAGGGTAATGGTTTTAAACTAAAAGAGGGTAGATTTAGACTAGATATAAGGAAGAAATCTTTTGCAATGAGGGTGGTGAAACACTGGGGCAGGTTGCCCAGAGAAGTGGCAGATGCCCCATCCCTGGAAACACTCAAGCTATTGGATGGGGCTCTGAGCAACATGATCTAGTTGAAAAATGTCCCTGCTCATTAGAGGGGGGTTGGACTAGATGATCTTTAAAGGTTCCTTCCAACCCAAACTATTCTACTATCTGGGTGCAAAGCTGTTCTCTTGGCCATGGAGTCTATGTAAGCAGTGCCCTGCAGAGAACTGTTTGAATCCTGTCTGTGTAGCTAATCCCAGCTATACTTGTCCCAGTGTCTAATATTATGAGTGGATGTAGGGGATGTCAGGGAGCAACAAGCTGCAGAGGGAGCACAGTACATCTATAGTCTGCCTGAGGCTTTCAGGGCAGGCACATAGTGCTACTGTGTAGTTAGTAACACCAGCTGCATGGAGCAAACAAGTGGAGAGCGTATCACTTGCAAGCTGGTTTTGTTCGATTTCATAGGGTCAGGTGCTAATCACCTGATCTTGTACAAGTTTGTGCCTGTGACATGTCCTTGCCTGAAGCTCACACTAATGAATCCTGAGTACAGGATGACTCTAGGGTTTACATTTGGAATGAGAAGTAGAAATAAAATTATTCCTGAAATGCTTTTTAATTTTTAAGTTTTACTTCCAGCTTTAAAAGTGTCAAACAAAGCTCTGGAGAGACAGGAGGTGTGCTATTTTCAGCCACCCTCCTGTGAGAGATCCATCGTGTGTGCGGGGGGGCACAGAGGGTGAGATTGACATGACACGTGTGTAGGACAACTCTGGCCCCTTACCAAGAGCAGAATCAAATGTCTAATCATAGGCAGAGCAGCAGCTGAGAGTCCAGAAGAGCAGTGAAGGCTGGGCTTGACAGTCTCAACTGTCTTGTGTGTGTGTGAACTTCAGGGAGAAAGTGAGCAGAGGGCCTTTTGGGGGACTGGAGAGTGGTGGTGTGAATTGTGAAGATGGGAATAGAAGATACTGCCTGTTAAGAACTGGAATCTGTTTTGAAGTTGGGAAGACAAAATATCTAAAGCATAGAAATCATGGGAGCTGAAGAAGAAATGCTCATCACTCTGTCTGGAGGTGCCCCCTGGGGCTTCCGCCTGCAAGGGGGTTCAGAGCAGAAAAGACCCCTTCAAGTGTCAAAGGTAGGACCTTGAGATGTGAACCGTGAGCGCAAAGTTGTTCTGCTGAACTCATATATCCCTACTGAGTCGGGCATCTTTCACTACTGTTAAGGAATGCAGGAACTCCTTACTATGGCAGCAGATCTTAGAAGGAAAACTTGGGTGGTGTGGTCAAGCAGGGTGTAGGGTGGGATGCGTGTCCTGAAATAGAGGCTATTGAGGTAGAGACAACTGTCAGGTGAAGACCTGCCTCAGTGCAGGTCTGTACAGCTCAGACACTTTATAATCTGTATGTCTCTCCTTAGTTGTCAGCAGAGCTGTAACCACAGGGCCAGTGCAGGGAAAAGGGCTCAAATATGGCAGCGTCCATGCTTGTGTAAGACATCCAACCAAGGAAAAAATAATCTAAATTGAAGCAGCAAAGCCGTATTTGTAATTCAACTGTCCCTAATGCTTAATTACTATATTCCAGCTTTCAGAATAGATGCACATTTCTTAGTGTCTCTTCTGTTGGTGAAAGTTTCTCAATACTGTCTGAAGTGAATATTTTTGATGCTCTACGCAGCAAATATTGGTACCATTTGAAGAATTAAAGGAAAACCATTGTTTGGATGGGAGATGAAATAATAAAAAAGGAATAAACATGAACCTTGATTTGCACTCCTTTTGATAAACATCTGTTACTGTTCTCTTTTCATAAAGACTACTGAATAGCCTAAAAATTAGGAAAAAATGGTCCTCTTTATTAAGGTCCTGACAGCTGCATTAGCCTTGACACAATGGTATGTTGGGATGTCTCCCTGGAAGGCACCCAGCAGCAGGAATGAAAAAATGTTATGCCCAGCTCCTTCTGTTTCCTTAAGCAGACCATGTCTCTGACAGAGAATTTTGAAGTGAAACATTCTGTGTCATTTGGCTCACCCCAGATCACAGACTGTTTGTCTGTAACTTCTGCCAAATTGTTTGGAATCCCACAGCTTGGCCCCAAAGTGAATGTTTCTTAAATAGCGAAAGATGATTTTTCTCCAGAAAAGCAATTTCTGCACATACTCATAGAGATTCAGGTGCTGAAAAGAAAGAATCAGTATCCTTGAAACAGGTGTCTGGCATCAGTGGTTGTTAGGAAAATGTGATTTTCAGTGGCCACATAAACTCTGTAGGGTCTAAGATTATTTTGACTCCTGTTTTTTCCTCAGTAGACAAAAAACTGGGACTGAAGAGGGAGGAGATTCTAATTGTCTATAAAGATTACTCAGGAGGGATTGAACAGTATCAAGAACTAGCCATTACCTAGGCTGTGTTGCACCTTAAGGTGAATGGAATATTGCTCAAGGATTAGTAGCAGGAAGGTATTAACTAGAAGCAGCTCTAACCCAGAACTGGGTGTTGTATTTTAAGTCTAGCGATACAAATATGTATATATAGTTTTACAGTACTTGGGTATTGCATTAAAAATAATTATGGAAAATATAACTGATACAAATCCATTTGAAGCTCAAAGTATACATAATTTTTCAAGCAGGAGTTTGATTTTATACTTGTCATTTTTGTCTATTATCGCCCAGAGTTTAATGGCATCCAGGTGACCACAGGTCACTGTCTTAAAGGCAACTCCATTTAAACAGTCTCCAAAGAAAGGATTTGTAAAAACTTACCAGAAGCCCAGTAAGGTCAGACCTGAATGTAAACTGCTTAGAAGAGAATAAACCACCAGGAGTCATGTGATAGAACATACAGACATGAATAGCTGATGGGTGCCAGGAGATAACTGAGTGGATACAGATGGTGAACCAGGGATTCCAGTGCTGTCAGTTTAGACAGTTTCAACTTCTAGACTAGAAAAGTCATAGCAGTAATGCTAGGGAAAGATGCTTACCCTTGGATGCTTAGTCAGATTGTTTCTATATACCTTTCTGGATGAATAAGCGATAAAAAGCTAACTTGGGAAATTAATCAATTAAGTATAAGAAATAAGTTATATATAAATGATATACATTGTAGTTATGTAGAGATAGTGGAATTGCTAGACCAGACTAGGTTAAGAGTCACTCTATGTCCTGCTTCCTCTTCCCTTTTTGTTTCCTGCAAGTATTTCAGAGGAACTTGCAAACTTCTCCAATGCATCTAATTTTTGAGTAATGCAATGCAGAGGGTAATTCTTTCCCCCAGGTAGTTGTCAGCGTGCCCTGTGAAGTATCTAAGAATTGACAGTCCTAGTGGTTTACCCTACACAGAAACAGAAAATCGTTTGTGAACAGCTACTACCTCACTTGTCTCCCTAAGTGGTTTCCTAATGAAGATTTGATAACATGAAGCAGCCAGGCCTTCCAAAGACTAAATGTTGCACAAAGTGGGATTTCCTGCTTGAGTTGCTCTTATTGTATTACAAAGCCCTGCACAATTCCTCACTTACATGATCAATTTACACAGTCACACAGTCTTCTTGCCTTTATTTCTTCTAAAGTTTACATCAGCATCAGCATCTTTTTATTGCTTTTCTATATGGAAATTACTATAAGTTAGTCACTAATTGCTGTACTTGGTACCTTTTTTTTGTTCTCCTGATATTTTTGTGTCTGCTGTATGCTTTCTTTTTTTTTTCCTTTTTTTTTTTGTTTTTTCAAATACATTGGTGAGCCTCTAATTGGTTGTTCTCTCATAAGCTGTTCACAATGATGGCTTAAATTATTGGCTTTTTTCAAATTGCAGCTACCTCAAAATGTACAGTGGGCATATGCATTTTTAAACCATCTTTTCTAGCAAAGCATTCAATTGGCTGCAACTAAATAAAGTACATGAACATGTTGGAAGTGGGGTGTGAACCCACTTTTCTAAAGGATACATAGCTGTATTTAAACTGTTTCTCCAAGCAAGGGATCAATTCTATACCTCAGTCTATCTAACACAAAGGGATAGAAAAGCAGCTGTATCTTCACATGCTGGATCCAGCTGCCAGAGAGCTTCTGTGCCATCCAGCAACTCCCTGTGAGTTATGGGTTCAGGGACACACCTAGAACAAGATGCTGGAATTATACACCTTGTGGAAAGCCTCTTGGGTCACACATTACTAACTACATGAGCCAACAGTGTGCACTGGCAGCCTAGAAGGCCAACAGCACCTTGAGCTCCATCTAAACAGGAGTGGTCAGCAGGTGGAGGGAGGTGATTCTGCCCCTCTTCCTTCATGAGACCTCACCTGGAGCACTGCATATCCTCAGTGCAGGAAAGACATGGATCTGTTAGGGTCTAGTGCAGCATCTCAAAAATTATCTGAGGGATGGAGCACCTCTGCTATGAAGACAGGCTAGGAGAGTTTTGGTTGTTCAGCCTGGAGAAGAGAAGGCTCTGGAAAGACCTCAGTGCAGCCTTCCAGTACCTAGAGCAGACTTATAAAAAAGAGGGAGAGCTACTTTTTATACAGGTAGACAGTGATAAGACAAGGGGGAATGATTTTAAAATAAAAGAGGAAAGATTTAGATTAGATGTTAGGAAGACATTCTTTACTCAGAGGTTGGTGAGGCACTGTAACAGGTTCCTCAGAGAAGCTGTGGATGCCCTATCCCTGGAAGTGTTCAAGGTCAGGATGGATGGGGTGCTGAGCACCCTGGTCTAGTGGAAGGTGTCCCTGCCCATGGCAGCGGGTTGGAATGAGATGATCTTTAAGGTCCCTTCCAACCCAAGCCATGTCATGATTCTGTGATAACTAGCTTTGTGTTCAAATAAACTTATGGAGCCAAACCAGCTGTGCCTCCTTTGGGATCAGAACATTGCTTCTTCCAGCACTGCCCAGTGAATATTGAGGAAAAAGCTCAAATTTAAATAACACAGGCAAGACTGAAATGCTAGTCTTAACACCAACTGATTATATGTTTCCAGATCTGTAACTGCAAATGGCTATTCCTTTCATCTTAAACTTGCCTCCAGGAACACATACTGACTATTTTTTTCCACTCAAACAATCATTTGCAGTGTTCAGGTGCCAAAAATGTCTAATGTGAATCCGAAGGCTACCATACTACTGATGTGTACATAAAAGGGGTACCATTAACAATTCAGTCTCATAAAAACAGATACTGTCAGAGTAGGGGTAAGACAAAAGAAGAAACAAAAGAAAATTTGTAAGTGTCTGAGGAGCCCTCAGTGAGAAAGGATAGATGATTTTTAAATGAGGGTTGTATTAAAATATCAACTCAGTAATAAGTAAGCTGAAAGAAAAGCAGGCATTGTTATGCTCAGTAGGCAGATACACAGCACAATCAAACATCAATAGAAGATATGAATCATTCTGCAGAAATTAGAAAGGATTGGAATATTGAGAACTAGAGAAACAAAATAAAGGGTGAAATAAAGGCTAAGAACACAAAAAGCAAAGGAAATCTCCATTTTGGTCTTAGTTACAGCAGTGTTCTTTTAAGTTAAATCAGTTGAACTACTGAGGATTCATACTGGGTTATTGTGATTCCTAATGAATCTTTTAACTCTTACCTAATGAAGCAGATGAAACATAGTGGGATTTTACACTACCCCTCACCACAATAAAGCTGATTTGGTATAGCTCAGTAGTTGGGGCGCACATGGCAACATAACACAGGAAATCTTTAACCAGAAAAAGTCATCAGGAAAGAAAGAAAACAAACACAAATACAAGAAGCAAAAAGGATCCATAGATGGTAAGATTTTTATTTTAGAAAGGCTGAGCGTAAGTACCAGATCCTGAGATGTAACTATAAATGGCAAGAAGGTTCACCCATTCTGAAAAGATAGTAAGAGAGAACAATACCATCGGGTTCCTGGAGGATTTCTCTGCAGTAAGGATATGTGCATCAAATGCACTTGAAACAAAACAAAATTTAAAATACCTTGTCTGAGAAAATTGTAAGCACTAAGCCTGGAATTAACCAAAGTAGAAATCTAACATGAAGCTATATTATGGAAATAATTTTTACAAAGATAAACGGGGCAGCTTTAGGATGATACAAGTGCATGCAAACCTGCCTTTAGGGATCCTGCTACAAAACAAG